GTTTGCAAGATGTTAGATTATACATTACTTGTGAAAAGGCTTATTTGTATATCATACCTAATTGGGATTACTGATTTTCTTTCTTCTGGTTTAATTTTCTTAGAGGAACAAATCTAATTCAGTTATAGATGTCTCTCTCTGGTCTATCATGAATTTTGAAGGCACTAGTGACTAATTGTAATCTGTGATAAGATGGATCAGAGAAGAATTTTATTTCAAGGTACTGAAGTGGGTAATGCTGTAAGGTGATGTTATGATTTATGACCAGAAGATAAATATTTGGCATTGTTTATCTGGAGTTGTCAAGTGTTCATAAATGGAATTCTAATTATCACAAAACATAAATACCAAGATAGGAGGTACAGATATTTAACTCATGCAAAGAAGAAAATGGAAAGTGATGGTACGTTTACTAAAATGAGACGCTGAAGTAAAAAAAGACCAGGAACCTCAATTATAGGAAACAGATCATTAATAACAAACCAAAGACAGGGATTAGAAGGCAGAAGTGGGAGGTAGGAAAATAACTACTAATGTGTAATAACATAGAACCAACTAGATGTTGTTGCTGGTGCAGATCAAAAGAAGGGTTGCAAAAACAAAACTCTGGTTAAATACATTATTATTGAATCATCCACACATTAGATGTTAATGTAGTTTTTAGAAAGGACAAGACTGGTCTGCTGTGACATTCTGATGTTAAGATAGTACCAATCTGTATAGCACATACTTGTAGCCCAAATACTAGAGAGGCTGAAGTAGGAAGACCGTGCCCTTCCAAAGCCCATCCCTAGTGATGTACTTCCTCCAGCAAAGCTGCACTTCCTAAACCAAGAGTCACCAAGTGGAAACCAAATGTTCAAGCTCCTGAGCCTATAGGAATCCTTTCCCATTGAAATGACAACAACATGCTACATAAACTTAAAAGAAAACTGTTTTTATTATATTTGTATTCATGTATGTTTGCATGCACGTATGGAGAAGGTCCAATGACAAGTTGTGTGATTTGGTTTCTTTCTTACAACATACACAACCCAGGTTTGTAGATTCGATGGGAAGAGTTTTCTCTTGCTGAGCTATTCCCGTGGCCATCAAAAGCCATTGGAAAAGAGAAGGAATGAAGTGAACAATGTAATGTGCTTTTGAAAAAGTAGGCTAGGCTGCAGAGTGAGTTCCAGACCAGTCGAAGCTAGAAAAAAAAACCACTCAAATAAAAAAAAATAAACAAATACAAAACAACCCATTCAGAATTTTAATTAAAAACCCCTCTTTATTTTATTTCTGACACTTTTTATAAAAATTATCTTTTCCAAGAAAAGAATCTTTAATTAAAATGTAGACACCCTGTCAAATTAGCTTACCATTTCTTTTTTTATAACAGCTAATTATATGAAATTGAATTTAAACTACTATATCTTTGCTGACTATAATTAAATAGAACTACATCCTTTGTAAGTGAAATCTTGTGATTTTTGTGTCATTCTGTTAAATGTCAGGTAAGAGATACTGTGTTCATTTTTGTTTCTCTGACTGAATATTATTTCTATCATCCAGTTACTTCTGCTAGGGTAAAAAATGCACTCCAAGCTATTTCTGTTACTGTATCATCCACACTTTACTCACTGTCAATTCTCCACCATGGTCATCCTCTGCTTGTCTCCAAGTAATTTTACTATAAGGACCCTAATTTCTCAATAATAGATACTTCCATCACATTCTATCTGAAAAGTCCATTATCGCCTTTCCCTAAGTATATATTAAATATATATTTGTCTATTCACACAAGTGCATACAATTTACCAGTTCTTGAATGCATTCCACCAAACTCAAACTATCTAATAATCAGGGCTGGTATATTTTGGAAATCTATTTAACCTTGCCATGAATTCAGCAGAGCCCAGAATTTCTATTGCCTTTTAGACGTCAGCTAATAGCTGCTGGATGTCCTGGTCTCAGAGGAGAATTGTTCCAATTCTAGATAACAATAGACTTGGGCCAGGGCGAGTTTACACCCACCCTGAAGGCTAGTGAGACATAGTGGGATGAAGGTGCCTGAACGCTTGAATACTTACTGCAAAGGAGTATATTTAGGATTAAGGGAAATAATTGCTATCAGTCCTTTATACATGATAATAGATGTCTTCTGCCATTGCCCCCACCTTTGGATGGTTACTTAAGATGATGGATCAATAAACCAGGGCCTTCACTATTAACTAATCGCCCCCCTGTGATGTTCAGATGTCTCTGTCTCATCTTTAACGCCATTTCCATTGCCTGCACACCCCACTGAGGGTTGGACACAGGGTTGTCCAGCTGGTTCTGATTGCATCCCCAAAGACATCAGTCTGCAATATCTAATGTGTTTTTATTTGTAGTTGGGATTGAATTTAGAACCTCACAAATGCTAGGCAAACATGGTACCACTGAGGTATACCTCCATCCATCTTTAAATTTGTTTTTGATAGAGAGTCTAGCTAATTGTAGCTAAATTGTCATCTGGCTCAGCATCCTGGATGCTGTTATTACAGGCATGAGCCACCACTGTTATCTTTATTTATATTAGATGCAATCCTGTTTTACAGGGTGGTATCAAACTCATGGTAATCTTTCCAGCTCAGCCTCCTGGATGTTAAGATGATAGTGTGAGTCATAATACTGGATTTTTCATTTTGTATTTGAGTAAAACAATGTATTTTCTGGATACATACCTGTAATCTCAGTTCCAGAAGGCTGAGACAACAGGATTCATCATGAGTTTGAGAATAGCCCAGGTTACATAGTAAATTTTATGCCAATTAATTCTATAGAATGAGATTCTTTCTAAAAAAGAAAATGGGATTTAGTGGGTAAGAACACTTACTGCAACACATAGACACAGCCTTTGTGCACAGTAGCTGTAACTCGACTGCTGTAAAGACTAGGAACAGCAAGATTGCTGGAACTTTCTGGCTGCCAGCCTATTTCCTAGTCCAGTGAGAGGCCCTTCCTCAAGGGAATATGGCAGAGAAGGATAGAGCAGGGCACATGATGTCCTCCTCTGATGTACCTGCACACATATGCATACATACAAACACACGCACACACACACACACACACACACACACACAAACAGAAACACATACTACATAGGGCATGGACATGCATACATATACAGAAAACAGGGCATGGACACACACACACCTCAGAGGGCATGGGGACACACACATACACATATACATAGGGCATGACAAACACACTACATAGGGCATGGACACATGTACACATAGGGCATGGAGGCTCACACATACACAATACATAGGGCATGGACACACATGCACACCTCTGAAATATACAAAAATACACATATGACTTAAGAGGCAACTTGGGCAAATGGAGTTACTTTTTCTTGGGTGTTGTGTGGCATTATCAGTTGAGCTTTTGTGGACCCCTGCAAAAGGAAGTTATTGGAGTTAAATAAGAGCCTCTGGAGGCTATCTACATGGTTGTGACTGAGCAGTTTTTGGCCCTGAAGGTACTCTGAACCTCTTGATTACAGCTAAATTCTTGATGTGCTAGCAAGGCCTAGAGCTATCCCTAGGCCTGATTGTATGATTATACTGAAGCTGAACTTGCCCTGGGGGCCTTGAGTGAGCCAGGTCAAGTTATTGTGGCTCAGATGCAGGAACCTGCCTTTTCAGCCGGATCTGAATAAAGTCCCGTGAAATCATGCTGGAAACCATGAAGGACTCAACAGAAAAAGAATTGCTCGTATACTTTTCGAAATGTGACTTTGGGAGTAAATCATGAAATAAAGCAAACTTAGCAACCACTAAGTAGAAACAGTCAAAAAGAAGGACTTGAAAGTCAGCTTGATTAGAGTTAGGAAAGAAGAGAGGAAAGAGTGACTGTCATTTAGGGCAGATTATTCTTTGACAATTAGGGTAAACTAGGGGAATGACTTTGAAAACCATTGTTTCAGTTTCTGGCTCAAAGTAACAGACCCATTATAAAAGAGTCTGCCAAAAAAGACACAGCTGATAGCATACTTGAACTATAAAATCATATATGTATGAACTTCTAAAATTTTGATAGATGCAGTGAATTCACCCTCAAAATATATCAAAGGAGTACAAGAATATCCACACAATATATTTTCACAGTTTTGATCTTTGGTGATTAAAGAGACAAAATTTCTTTCAATTACATTTTATTTGAGACAGGGCCTTGCTCTGTAATATAGACTTGCTTGGAACTTGCTATGTAGCCCAGGCCAGCCTTGAACTCAAGGTGATCCTTCAGTCTCAGCCTCTCATGTGTAAAGATTACAATTATGAGGCAACATGGCTGGCATGTCGGATGTATTTCAGAGTCACTGTGAAATCCTGGCTGGTGTGGAACTTGATATGTAGACCTTGTTGGCGTTGAATATGTGGCAATTTTCCTGCCTCTGGGATGCTGAGATCCAGCTGTTTTTCTTTTTAAACCAGCTAATTTCAAACTCTTGGCTGTTATTTTACTTCAGCAATATCCCCGGCCCTGGATTAAAGACATGAGCTACTAAACCCAGCTAACACTATACACAAAAATGAAATGCACACACACACACATATTGTTTACACATATATATGTTGTTTGGCTGGGTGTTTCAAGACTGGGTTTCTCTGTGTAGCCCAGGCTGCCCTGTGATTCAACTTGCTCTGTAGAGCAGGCTGGGCTTAGACTCAGAGATCCGCCTGCCTCTGCGTCCTCAGTGCTGTGATTAAAGAGATAATACTTCTTAAAATCATAGATTATTAATAATTAATCAAGAAGCAGAATTTTTAAAAACTCACCTGTGCCTGGTGCTCTCATTGGCAAGAGGGTTACCAGATATTTTATTACTATAATGTGCAACTATCAACTGTTCTTTTTTTAAAACAGGAGACAGTTTCAGAGATAGGTTTCATTTTTCAAAAAAGAGGAAGAAACACCATTCTGTGGCCCTATGTGGCTTCGTCAGTTGCCTCCTGCCCGTTTCCTGGGACTTCCCACTCCTTGTTTAGCACAGACTAGACTTAAGTGAAACAGCTCTTTTTCCATGCTTTGTATCAATTATACAAAGAAGGGAGCAGCTCAGTGTCTTGGCGGTCTCCTCAGTGAGGGTGACAGGCTTGAGCAGTTTGGAGAAAGAGCCTTGACCGGCTAACCAGCTCTACTAGATCAGTCCTTGCGTTGCTGCAGAAACCAAGGAGCAGACTGTTTGGTGAAGGTAAGCAAGGCACTTTGATCCTCTTATCAATTATTCCCCTTTTTCTTCCTACATATTCTTAGCTTTTTATCACTAGCCTACACTGGTGGCATCAGAAAGGTTTTCTAGTTTACTAAATTAGAGTGACTAGGAAGTTGACCAATTATTCAACGAAGCTAGGCAGTTCAGTAATCAAAATTAAGCTAAACATTTCTTTCCCTGACCTATTTACATTATTTTAGATATTTTGAATATTTCTAAAATAGTGCTTGGGTTTATTTTGTCATTGTTGTTGTTACTGGTGCTTATGTTTTAGTACTGGCCATTTGAACTCTGGGCCTTGCACATACTAGGCAAATATTTTATTATTGAGATACATTTAAAATTTTTTTGAGATAGGGGCTCATTAAAATCTGGCCAGATAGACCAAATAATCTTGGAACTTTTTAAGCCTCCTGAGAAGTTGGCATTGTAGGTTTCAAGCTAAGCTTAAAAAGTTCTTATTTATTTATTATTTACTTATTTATTCATTCATTTTCTTTGATATAGTGTCTCTCTCTGTAGTCAGACTAGCTTTTAACTAGCAGCAATTTGCCTCAGCCTCTTGATTGCTAGATTTCCAGGTTATAATTCACAACACCCACTGAGGAACAAGATTATATATATATATATATATATATATATATATATATATAAATTTAAATTTAAATTAGAAACAAGGTTGCTTCATATGTCAATTCCAGGTCCCTCTCCCTTTCCCGCGCCCTCCTACCAACTTTCCCAATATCCCCTCATTTCCCCAGGGAGGGTGAGGCCCCCCATGGGGGTGTCCATAGTCTGTCATTTCATACAGGGCAGGGCCTAGGCCCTCCCCCAAGAGTCCAGGGTGAGAGTACCTCTCTTATTGTTGGATGGGAGCCCAAAGTCCATTTGTATACCCAGGATAAATACTGATCTACTACCCAAGGCTCAATAGATTACCTAGGCCTCCTCACTCACACCCACATTCAGGGGGTCTTGATCAGTCCCACGCTGGATTCCCAGGCATCAGTCTGGGATTCAAGAGCTAACCCTTGTCAGGTCAGCTGTTTCTAGGGGTTAAACCAAATCCAGTAACAGAGAGGGAGGACTAATGACCAAAGAGGTTAAGACTGGGCTGGTTTAACCCCCAGAGGAACAAGATTTTAATGTACTTGTTTGCAATGAAGCTTGAAGCTTTATTAATAGTATAGTACCAAGAGATTTCATGTTTAAAGTCTGCTATATGTGTAATATATAACCCAAAGATTTAATTCATGTAGTCAGTTCCTTAAAATAGCTCAATCTATGTTTGTTTGTTTGATTTTTGTTTGTTTGTTTGTTTTGAAGGTATGGTTTCATTATGTAGCCCTGGCTGACTTAAAACTCACTATGTAGACTGGGCTTGTATTGAATCCATTCAAATGTTGGAATTATAGGTATGAGCCACTAGGCACAGCATGATCTGTTATTTTTAATATAAATTTTTGACTGATTTTGGTCAAACTCACTCAAAATTTGTTTTAATCAATTTTTAAAAGTTGGAAGCTCAAAGACGATTTTATTAGTGTTTAAAACAAAATCTCCTGGGCAGGCAAGCTGTAAATCTCAGCAGCTACCCAAAGGAGGAAGATGAAGATGGGGAAGAGAAAACCATGACATTTGATGCAGACATGTTCAGAAGCAAGTCTAGACCAGAGGCAGAAAAGGGGAGAATGAAATGGTATGCTTTTCTAAGTAATTGAGAAAAGCGTGCAGCTTGGCCGAACTGCATGGCTGTGGCCCTGTGACTGCTTCTTTTTATTTTCTGAGATGGCTTCTCCTTGGTTACGAAGACTGAACTGTAACTGGGGAACTTCATGCTTCAATTTCCAAAATGCTAGGATTACAGGCAAGTGCCAATGAGTCTGATTCTGATAAAAATTGTGTGTGTGTGTGTGTGTGTGTGTGTGTGTGTTTTGAAACAAAGTCTATTTATGTAGCCTTGGATGGCTTAAAGCATACTATGTAGCCCAAGATGTCTACAGACTTGCAGGAATCCTGAACTTCAGCCTCCTCACTACTGAGATCACAAGCCTACACTACTGTGTTTAGCCTTCAAATACTTTATTATATAATTTGTTCACTCCTCTTTCACTACTTGCTACATTGATCCAATTCTGCATTTTCATTAGAAGGCATAACTACTTAAGCAAATATGCAGAGACACCATTGTCCCGGACTTCAGTTGTGCTGATGACTTTTAGAGAAGGAAGAAAAATCACAGTACATTCCCGTTGAATTTCAGTCTGGATTAAGTTCAGTAAGGTTGTGATAGTGTTACTTTGTGTGGCAAGACAGGTTAAAAGTGAATATGGTTTTATAGTAATATTGCTTTTCAAACTGTTGTCTAAATGATTTATGGAAAGCCTTCTCTTTGTATTAAAGACAGGGAATGCAAGGGTGTGTGGACTTTGTTTTAATCATTTTTAGATCTCAAACATCCCTTCTTTTATACACGTCTGTCTAAGCTTGAATACAGGCTTGGGTTGAGTGGACTGTTCATAAGGACACTCGTATGGCATGTCTTGCATAAGCCTGTCTACCACAATTGTTTCTGAGGTTGAGAAGCTTTTTTGTGTATATAAAGAGTATTTGAAATCTGTGTTAAACATCCATATCACAATTGAACTTATTTTTTGTTTTATGTGATAGGGCCTCATTTAGTGTACACTGGCCTTGAGATCCCTAAGTAGCTGATACTGGTCTTGAACTCCTGATATTACTGCTTCTACCTTTCTAGTGCTGGAATGAGAGGCATGAACCATCACACTCAGATATATACCTTGTTTATAAAAAAAGAAACAAAAAGCTATTGTTACATGACTGTCTAATAGATATCTAATAGTCTCTAGAACTACAAAAATTCTCAAGATCAAAAGTAATAGTTTCTTTCTATTCTCTTGAGGTAATACAATAACCACCCATATTTCTATCAAGTACATTAATTTGGTGTGTTATTCTGTCATATTTGTTTTCCATTTCTCTCTGTCTGTTTTTTCTGACATTTTTAAAGAGTAATTTGTTGGCTTCATTGCACGTCACGTCCCTAAATGTTGAGTGTATGTTTCCTAAGGATATGACCAGTCTTTCACATAATGATGACATAATTATGACACCAAAAGTATAAGATCAAACCAAGAGCAATGGCTCTTGCCTGGAATGCCAGAATGTGGATGCTGATTTTCATCGACCTAATGAGATCTGTCTTTGAGACCTGGGATCTGAGAACCTGAAAGAATGGGGTGGACTACAGTCTGACGCTGCAGACAACCTTTCTTCATTTCAGTGTACTTTTCGATGTAACAAAGAAAGCAATGATCCATGGAAGGTCGTTGAGTTCAGAAAAGCATGATCAGATAAACATTTTTAAAAACACCAGTAAGCACATACTAAATATTGACAGAACAGTCCTTTCCCAGAACTTTCTCAGGACAGACCAGTTTAAACACAATTGCCTGGCACTACTAAGATTATGTCTGGAAAACACAAAAGCAAGGCAGAAGGCTAGGGTGCATTGACCAGATTCTATAGCTATGTTCTTACAGCCAACAAGAATGAACATGTCTTAGAAATTGAATGTAAATGCTTGTTTCAGGAGATATAAAATCATGTCTAAGAACAATCCTGGGAACAAAATCCACCTGAGGTAAAAAAAAGGGCCTTTGCCTTTTTTCCTGGAACCTCTCTCACAGTTCCCCAAGGTGTTGCTCGTCATGCATCATTCTTTTGAGCTTGTGTTGACAGAGAGTAGCAGAAGCAGGACAACTGACATGAGTTCAAGGCCAGCTTGAGGTATATAGGGAATCTCAGGATGATGCAAGATACAGAATGAGACCTAGCATCAAAAAGGGAAAGGAAAGAAACTTGAATTTATAAACTAGAAAAGTTGTTCCTTATTTTTAAAATCTCTTTTTATATAAAAATAAATGTAAAATATTTTAAAAAACGATCATAAGGTTTATTGTTTATTGTATGAGATGGTAAGAAAGAATATGAAAAACCATAAAAATTATTAAAAATATATTTACTAATACTTTTGCACCAAATTTTACATAGCCTGAATGAAGAGTTTATAATCAGGTAAAGTCCTTGTATATAGTTACTAGTTTTGAACATAAGAATCCCAGAAAAGCCCCCAAACCAAATTTATTTGCTCATTTAGTCAAATTAATATGGAGAAAGAAAATTTTTGATTTGATTCTTTATTTTTAACAGACAGTTTTTCTATGTAGTCCAGGCTAGATTTGAACTTGTGGTAGTCCTGCAGCCTCGACATCTTGAGTTCTGGGAACACAGGCATCCATCATTACACCCAGTTTACAACCCTACCTTAAGAAAATATGTTGCAGAAGAATAGTTAATCACAAATTTTGTTTTGTAGTAGGAACTGAAATATGAATGAGTCCAGGAAATGCAAATTAATACTGAATTGAGAATCCATCTAACTCCTGGTAGAAAGGCTAGCATAAAAAACAAAAACAAAAAAAGCCAGCAAATCCTGGTAAGGATGTTGGGAAAGATGAACCCTCTGTGCTTCTGGTGGGATAGCAAACCTGTGAATCCACTAAGGAAGACACACTGTGAAGGTACTTCAAATAATTAAAACTAGAAGTCAAGTGTATTGGGTCATACTTGTAATCTCAGAAATTGGGATGCCAAGGCAGGAGAATGGCCACAGTTTCAAGCAAAACAACCAAAGTAAGTTAAGTATAAGACTCACCTGTACCACTCCTAGGTGTACACTTGAAGGTCTCTAAGGCACTGTATCACAGAGATACTTTCATTCATGCTCTACTAGTTACAATAGTGTACAAATGGAACCAGCCTGGATGTCCATCAACCGGTGCTTAGATACAGAAAATGCAGCAGATATGTTTGACGTAAAACCAGCAGTACTGAAAGTACTTAAAGTAAACAAAATAAACCAGGAAACACACCTTTAATCCCAGGACTCGAGACAC